GAAGTCACCGGTGGGAGGAAGTGGGGAGGGACTTTGAGACGGCAGTGGTCATCCTGCAGAAAAGAGAGGAAGGTCTGACCGGCGAGCAGAGACTTACGACACTGGCCCAGAAGCCAGGGAGGAAGCACCCGGGTGGGTGGATCCTGGAGAACGCACCCCGCGAGATTATGACTTCAGCCTCCTTGCCCTGCCCTCCAACGCGCTCGGGAGTCATTCTGGGCCACAAGGCAGGAACGGAAGGCCTGTGGGCTAACTCCTCCAGAGCTAGAAACAAATTGGCAGACAGGGCTTGGCCAAGGGCTGGAGAGAGCTGGCACTCCCCCAGGATTCCGGCTCCCGAGAGGCATCTTGGTCTACCAGGTGCCAGGAGAAAAGGGACGAAGGGAAGAGGGGGAGCACTGTGGCCGGAGCCAGCCTGCCTACAGGTGGTGGGGAAACTCCATTTCCCTCTCGGAGCTGACCGATTTTCACCTGGCCCTGCCCCACTTGAGACGTCCAATTCGGCCTCCACTGCGTTTAGTGGTACAGCCACGCAGTCGGAACCAAGATGGCCCTGGGTGATCTGGCACCCCGAGGCCACCGCACACCCCACGGTTGCACCCCGAGGCCACCGCACACGCCACGGTTCCCTGTGGACGCCGTGTGTGGTCCTCCGGCTGGCCGTGGCAGCGTCCAGCCCTGGGGCCAAGCACAGAGCAAAGTGACCACCCTTTTCCCACGGAGAAAAGTCTGGCTCGTGTGGTCCCAAACGAGACTTCAGTTTTAAATGTTTTGCTCAGCCCCGGCTAACACGCCGAGCGGGGATCCATGTAAAGAAACAAAATAATTAGGTGAACGTCTCTCGTTGACCCCAGTCTCACACGAGTATCTCCTTTCTTGAGACCCTTCTAATAAACTCCAGGGATTACTAAACACGGGAGAGAAAGCAACAGGACAACTTGGCTTCAAGGGCAAATACAAGTCACGCGCATATAACATTTCTGTGGAGGCAGGAGCAACCAGGAGGAGAAGGGAAGACAGCTCCCTGGGTAAATAAAATATCACATCGATTGCAGCCCAGAGTGCAGGGCGGCTGGTGTTCTCCCCGGGGCTGGGCAAGCTCGCATGTTTACAGACGACGGGTGAGACAGCACGCTTGTGATATGGCTCTATTTCAACCCCGGATTTTTGTCTCATCAAAAGACAGTGTCGGCGTCCTCAGCAGACACGTGGGGTCTGCCCCTTCACCCACTTCAGGCACGTGATGCAAGAATCAACAGGCTGCTGCACAGGCGCCGGCCAAGCCAGCGGCAGGGGCCGGGGCGCCGCGTGGGAACACTGCCTCGGAGGCCGGTGGTCCACAGCTCTGCGGATACGGGGGCAAAGCCATCAGACAGCATTCGTCCAACCGACTGTCGGTGCACAATTTTTAGCCGTGCTAGGATGGCAAAAGGCACGAGCTCCCGAGGGAGAGTGAACCTGACTTGATCGGCCTCCAGGGAGAGAGGGTAGGGACTCTCACCACAGGCCAGGCCGGCTGTCTCATGGGATGTTTCAAGAACTGCCCGCCTACTGGCCGATCCTGCTCTCAGGGGAAGAGGGGGCCCTCTGGCTAAAAACGTTCTGCAGACCAGCCACCGGTCCAGTATGCAAAGTCTGGCAGTGTCACAGGAGGCCTGAGCTTTCGCCTCAATATTGGGCATTTTTCCAAAGCAAAAGCCTAGGGACTTTGCATCTTAGTGTCCCCATCTCCAGAAAGGGGAGCATACGTTAGCGATGGCCTCAACCCCCCCACCCCTCCACATTGTCCTCAACAGATCTGCTGCGTGCAGGCTTGACCCACAAGCTGGAGAAACGCGCTGGCCCCTGGCTGGGCCCTTATCTGTCCCCTGTTGGACACGAAATGCCACCATCACCCTGCCGTCCACTGGCTGGGTGGTCCTGAGGGCTCACTGTTTTATGTTCCCTCAGGTACGGACACTTCCAATCCCCCTGCAACCAGGCTCCACCCGACCCACCCAGGATCATTTCTTTCTTTAAAAAAAAATTTTTTTTTTTAACGTTTATTTTGAGAGAGACAGAATGTGAGCAGGGGAGGGGACAGAGAGAGAGAGCAGGAGACACAGAATCCAAAGCAGGTTCAGGCTCTGAGCTGTCAGCACAGAGCCCAACATGGGGCTTGAACCCACGAGCTGGGAGATCATGACCTGAGCCGAAGTCGGACGTTCAACTGACTGAGCCACCGGGCGCCCCATTTTTTTTAATATTTATTTTTGAGAAAGAGAGAGAGAGAGAGAGAGAGAGAGAGAGAGAATGAGCATGAGCGGGGGAGGGGCAGAGAGAGAGGGAGACACAGAATCCGAAGCAGGCTCCAGGCTCTGAGTTGTCAGCACAGAGCCCGACCTGGGGCCGAAACCCACCAACTGTGAGACTGTGACCTGAGCTGAAGTCAGACGCTGAACCAACTGAGCCACCCAGGCGCCCCACCACCGGAGCTGACTTCTTACTGACCCTCCCAACTGCCCACTCCCGGGCCTGTTCCAGCAGGTTCCCCACATACGATGCGCTCCTTCTCGGTTCCTTCACTTGGCTCATAATCTGTTTTGAATTAAGGTATGCTTTACATGCGGTGAAATCCACTCTCGTGTGCGGCTCTGTGAGTTTTGACAACTGTGCACATTCATGAAACCACCTCCACAAGCAAGACGTAGAGCAGTTCCCCCACTCAAAAAATTCTCCCGCATACCTTAACTCGGCCTCTGGCATCCCCTGAGCAGCCTTCTGTCTCTATAGCTTCGCCTTTTCCAGAACGTCACGTGAGTGAAATAATATGGTAAGTGACCTTTTGATGTCAGCTTATTCCCCGCACCTTGCGCATGGAGATCTGTCCATCAGCACTTGCTCTCCTTCTGCCCCGTGGTGGTAACCCACCGTGTACTTGCCACACTCCTTGTGGGGGTACCACAGCTCGTGCATCCGATCTCCAGCTGGGGACAGCCAAGGGACTTCCAGTTTGGGGCAAACGTGAATGAGGCTGTCATGAATTCCGTGAGCACACGCACTGCCACTGCTCTTGGAGAAACGTCTAAGCCGGACTCCTGGGTGGTACGGGAGCGTATGTTTCACTTGATAAGCCGCCCAACTCTTTTCCAAGCCAGCCGCGCCATTTTGCCTTCCCACCGGTAACACGAGAGTTCCAGCCGCCCTGTATCCTTGCCAGTACTTGGTATTATCGTTTGGGGTTTTTTTTTTTTATTTATTTATTAGGTCATTCTGTATAGGTATATAGTGACACAGGGCAACTTTCTTATTTGCTGGAACTAATGCTTACGACACGCTGGGCGCTGTGCTCAGTGGCTCATTCCCTTTCAATTAATGCCCATTCCAAATCTCCACAGTGAGTTCCGGTATTTTCTCTGCTTTTAAATGAGGAAACGGAGGTGGCGTTCGATCCGAGGTCAAAACGACCACAACGTTCGCGGCCTTAAGTAAGATCTCTCCGAGGATGGCCTTCCTTACACCTTCACGGATTCTCTATAGTCATTTGGGCTCTTGCTCAAATTTCGCCGCCTGTGTGACGGTTTCTCCAAATCGTAGCATAATACAGCCCGGTCTGACCTTGCCTTTTAGGGCCCTTGATCAATTCCCTAATTATTTCCTTTCTCTCCAATTAGAGAACCAAAGCATTCTTCAAGTAACTCACGTGTCTGGTCTCCCCAACACTGCTTTTCATCTTCTCCATTTTAGGCACTGACTGAAACGAATCAGAACACGTAGAAAGTGTCTGGAAATTGAGGGAGAAGGCGTGCTATAAAAAACAGAGGCTACAACTTGCGTGTCAGGGCCCCGAGTTCCACAGTGCTTTATGCAGCCACAACCTGCGGGTCGTATTCTGCCCCACCAGGGGGATCAGAAAGTTCAGGCAGTTTAGTTAGAGAAACTGTGGCAGGTTATGGGTCACTGTAAAGCATCCCCGTCCCCAGTTGCCACCAACTGCTCCATGACCAATAAAATAGCCAGTGTCCGGAAAACAGGGTGAAAACAGCTGGTGACATCACGAAGGACGAACCAGTTTTAGGAAACAACCTTAAAAGCAAAAGAGGCACAAGACGGACTACCGGGGACAAGGGAGACTTCTTAGGACGACAGTGCAAACCAGTGCTAAAGCCAGACCACATCCCAAAACAACACAGCAGACCTCAGCCATGTAACCGGAAGCTGCTGGAAAGCAGTCACACCTGGAGGCCAATTAGCACACACAACCAATTCGTCATGTGCTTGACCCCACCATGTTCCTTTCCCTACAGGATTCAGAAGCCAGGACTTTGCTACAAATCTCCGTACTCTGCTCCCTCCTCTTCCCCAACCTCAGCCCCACATCATCGAACCAGCTAGGCCTACGTGCTGTCCTGTCCCGTGAGCATTTCAGATCGATGACCCCACATCCTAGAGAACGAAAGCCTTTCCCTCTATTTCTATCCATTGCCCACAGAAAGCTCCCAGTCACCTTCACCTCCTCCCTCCCCTCACCCCATCTTCTGTGTTCCAAGGGTCCTACCAAAGTGTCTCTCACACCGCGCCGGCCATCCACAGGGCCAGTGCGCCCAAGTCCGTGGCACGGACTCCACGGTGTCTCCTGACCGGACGCAACGCCTCCCTCTTCTGTCCACGTGGAAGCCACCGAGGAATCTGCCCTTTTAAATTTTTCTTACGTTTGCTGATTTTTGAGAGACAGAGAGAGACAGAGCACAAGCAGGGGAGGGGCAGAGAGAGAAGGAGACACCGAATCCAAAGCAGGCTCCAGGCTCCGAGCTGTCGGCACAGAGCCCGACACAGGGCTCGAACTCAGGAACCGCGAGGATCGTGACCTGAGCCGCAGTCGGGACGCTTAACCGACTGAGCCGCTCAGGTCGGGGAATCTGCCCTTTTAAAGCAACACTTCCATCCTCTGTTCAGAGCCCTGGAACAAACCGTGTGGGCCTCGATGTTTCATTTTTTAGAACTCGCGGGGCCTTCTCTTGACCTGGCCCCTTATCTTGGCTCTCTTGGTCAGCACTCCCTCCTCCTGTCAGCCTGGGTGATTCTTGACCTTCTGTGACTTCCTCCCTCTGCACTCCTCACTTGGAAACCCCGTTTGGGGTTTATAATCACTCTTCCTCTTGGAAATGGTCTTCAGATTATAAAAGCTTTACACCCACAAAGCCTGGATCTGCCCGTGGGGCTGTGCCCGGAGGGTCTCGAGCCGTTGCTACCGGCTCTCCCGGGGACCAGACGCCATTCGGCCACACACACCCGACGCTTTACCCCCCCCCTCGTGGCACTTGCGGTGGAGGGAACTTAATGACCTATGCCCAAACACTTCAATTTCTGATCGGTTTTTGAAGGTTCTGGAAGAAGCCAGAATTTCTTTATCGTAAACATCTGAAGTAAAGGCCGTCCTGAAAGAGCTCCCGCTTGAGTTGTATGCCGCTTCTCGGTCCGCGGACAGCCCAGATGAAGCACCGAGTGGGAGAGAGAGGTGGGCTGTGATGGGTCAGAGGCAGTGGGCCCATCTTCGGGAGCAGACAGAGATTCTAGACAGAGAACCAGAGGCAGGCGGGGCACAGAGAGCCAGAGCTCAGCACGCATGGCTTCGACAACCCTCGGGCAAAGCACAGTGGGTGAGTGCCCTCTGATTGCTGCTCTACAGACGTGGGGGAACGTGACGCCCTCTGACAGGTTGGAACCCACAAATCCGGGAAACTGCTTGGAGGCCAGACACAGGCTCCGCACCTAAACTCAAGTGCTTTCTCTTTTCTTCCTGCAAATTTGTTAGTGAACATGTAGTGTAATATTGGCTTCGGGAGCAGAATGTAATGATTCGTCACTTCCATACAACGCCCAGTGCTCATATGCTCATCCGTTTTGTTTCCTAAATTCCACGTGTAAACTTTAGTACTTAAAACCGAGCGGGGGGCCGCCCTACCTGGGAGTGCTCCGAGGTCTGGAAAACAAAGTCCCAAACCTAGACCCTCCCACCCCCCCGCCCCGCCCCAGCAAAGTCTCAGTCCAAATTTCCCCATTTTCTAAGGACACCAGCCATGTTGGAATAGGGCCCACCGTAATATAATAACCTTAGCTTCATCTGACGACCTCTGTAAAGACCTTGCCTCAAAATGAGGTCACATTCTGAGGGCACGGGGGTTAGGTTTCATCAGATCTTTTTTGAGGGGACACCTATAAATAGCACCTCTCTCCCCGAGGTTTCGCAGTGGGGGGCAGAGTATACAGACAGAAGAGCCCAGACACCTCTCACTCAGCGGCTGGTTTTCACACTGACCTGTGCTTATTCGTTGGCATTCCGTCTGGGTCAAGGCTGTTTCTTAAAGAGGCAGAAGGCACAGCTCTGGCCCAGCGGGGGAAAGCGGGCACAGAGGTCAGTGAGCTAACGGCCTGTGGCCCGTCTCTATTAAGCATCCGCCCCACGTGGAGAAAAGCTCATCCATCGTGGGACGAAGGGCACACATCTTGATTCCAAGCACAGGGTGTTAGGGCAGCTTGATTTCTGACAGGACTGAACAGTGCGCTATTCAAAACGTACAAAATATACATTCCCCTTGCACAATGGGGAAAAGTTCTTGGCATAAAAGCTCAACAGACACTCTGATTATGCAAGCTCTTTTCAAAAAGCGTCGGGCCTCCAAGAAGCTAATCTGACAGAGACTTCTTGTTCTCTCCAAATAATGGGTGAAAAAAGACACCATTTCTGAGTCTTTAGAAGACAGACACCCAGGCAGACAGGGCCACACCATCAATCTGTGCAGAAGTTGGTAAGAGGCCGGGGCACCAGTCGCTTTTAGGAACGCATCAATTCCACCAGACTCCAGGGAAGGAAAGAGAGTGAATGTTGAGGGCCACGGGCTGGAGGCCCCCAGGCCCCACGGCCTCCTGCGGGCTGCGGGCGTGCCAGGAGGGCCGGAGACCAGAACAATGGCTGCAACCCACTTCGCAGGAGTGGGGAGCAGGGCCACGGCCAGACGGGCTGAGCTCACCGTGTCTGACAAAAGGAACGTCTCACAACCGAGACCTTTGGGTTGGAATTATGAAAAGAGAGCAGGGGTGGGGGTGGGGGGTCGGGAGGGCACTTTGGGAGACGGGTGACTGGTGAGTTGAGAAGGCGTGCTCAGACAAAACTGGACGTTCTCTACGACTTACTTTTCAAGAGGACTGGGGTAAATGAACACCAAGGTCACTGTAATGCTTGTTTCAACGCATTACCGGTATGTTTTCTGTTTTTCTAATATACTCAAATGTGCTTATTGTGAAAGAAAGAAAGAAAGAAAGAAAGAAAGAAAGAAAGAAAGAAAGAAAGAAAGAGAAAGAAAGAAAGAAAGAAAGAAGGAAGGAAGGAAGAAATAAAAGAAAAAAGAAAAGGAAAAAAGATCTTTAAAATGTTAACTAAGGCTGAGCCCTCATAAATTGCTCTTTAGGGTGTCTGTCGAACCTGACCACAGAAATACTCTCATATGTAAGAAAAACTGAACTGACGGTCAGTGTGTGTCTGCTGCATCCCAGGCATGGCACCAAGTAGATTTGTTTTCATTATCTCTCTTCGTTTTCTCTCCTTTAAATGTACTTAGAAGGGCTGAATGCATTTTAGTCACGTCACCAGGTATTAAGTTTTACTCACAGTGGTGGACAGGAAAACCCAAGGCTCGGGGAGACGCGAATGATTTTCTGTCCCGAACCAGAGCCAGGCACAAGGCAATAAAACAGGTGACAGGGTAAGAAGGCAAAGCCTGAGAATGTGAACGAGGGTGGGCCAATCACTATCCGGGCAGGTGCACTGGGGAGCCGGGGACGGGGATGGGGCCGGGGTGGGCAATGAAGGGAGATATGGGGAACGGCCGTGGAGGAAGATGGACCCTTCCTCATGACAAGTGATGTGAAGGAACCATCTGAAGGGCGGACCAAGGCTGCACATGACGACGACGGTCATCTTGTCACACACAAAACATAAAATACACGTCCTTTTTTTTTTTTTTGTAATTTTATTTATTTGAGAGAGAGAGAGACAGAAACAGAGACAGAGACAGAGAGAGAGAGAGCACGCTAGCAGGGGAGGGACAGAGAGAGGGAGAGAATCCCAAGCAGGCTCTGCACTGCAGAGCCCAGTGAACCGTGAGATCATGACCTGAGCAAAAACCAAGGGCACTTAAGCAAGTGAGCCACCCAGGCGCCCCAAGTATGTGTTCTAAACCAGATGAGCTACTTATCCTGCTCCCCAGTCTCCCCCTTTATTCCTCTCCCGGCCATGCACTAGCCCAGCAGCTTTCAAATTTTTTTGACAAAACCCACAGTAAGAAATAAATTCAACGTAGAGACCCAGTAGTCAATTCATACGTCAGTATATATACTATATATATAGTACATATACCTGTGCACATATACACACACGTCCCTATATATGTGACAAGCTTTATAAAATAGACCTATTTTTACCATGTGTGATGTGCCCCAATATCTTCTACTTAATTTTTCTTTTAAATACGGATGCCATCCCTCCTAAATGAGTTTCACGACCTACTTTGTGGGTTGTGACCTAAAGTCTGAAAAACCTTGCTCTAGCCTTTGGAAGAGTCACGGTCAAGGTTCCAGACTGGTATCAGGTACACTTACAGGCCACGGGTTCGAGCCTGAGTCGAAGAAGTAAAAGGGAGCCCGACACCCGGACCCTCCGAGGGCCTTCCTTTTGTTCACCTGTAGCTGAGGACCCAGATGAACACCAGGGGCTGTGCTGTCCTTCCTCACACCTGCGTGGCAGGGGCCTGGCCCAGGAGGGAAGGTGCCCCAGGGGAAGGCAATCCTGAGATCGGAGAACTGGAAATTCTCCTCCCGGGGGCCATGCTGGGGAGGAAGGGCAGTCAGGGTCTCAGTGCCCTACTAAGGAAACATGGGCCATGCACCACCTCTTAGGATCCTGTGCTCTGAGGACATTACATTTCTGGCTGGGCCGTCACCACTGGCTGCCTGGAGGCACGCAGAGGGACAAGCCCACCTCTGTCCTACCCTCGTCTGGATCTAACCGTGCCGTGCTGTGTCTGAATGGGAACGGTCAAATCAAGAGATCCAAGCACGAGGCTCCTCCGGAACCCGTCCTCAAGGCTCCTCCCTCCCAGGGACTCGAGGCACAAGGAGGGAGAAGGCGACCACAGGGACCATCAAGTCACTATGCTGACGAAGCTACAAAATCTGATCCAGGAGGCCACACAAAACCTGACCGTATTTCCCCAACAGGAAGAATGTCATGTCCCAGGAAGGAAACAACTCAGGTAGTGGAATTTAAACAGAAAAGAGCAGGGGCGCCTGGGTGGCTCAGTTGGTTAAGCGTCCGACTTCGGTTCAGGTCATGGTCTCACGGTTGGTGAGTTCGAGCCCCACGTCGGGCTCTGTGCTGACAGCTCGGAGCCCGGGGCCTGCTTCGGATTCTGTGTCTCCTTCTTTCTCTGCCCCTTCCCCACTTGTGCGTGCTCTCGCTCTGTCTCTCCCTCCCTCTCTCAAAAATAAATAAATGTAAAAAAAAAAAAATCTCTTTAAAGAGAAAAGCACTGAGTCAAGTCACACAAAAGCACGAAATACACCTGCACCCCAGTCCTAAGAGTTGCATACAGTGGCCCTAACTGGGGGTGATGGGAGTTGCTTTGAGACTACAGGAACAGACTCCTCAGGGAAGGAAAGGCAAAGGTGAGCTCCTCTGTGCTCAGAAGACGGCAGGCTTCCATCCGGGAAACTCATCAGAGACGAGCAACGGAGTAGCCCCCATTCAGAAGGCTGACCCCACTCCCTGGATGGGAAGGCGGCAGTTTCTGTGCCTCCTGCCATCTTGCAGGGGTGAGGGGAGGGCCGGGTGGTCCAGCACAGCCTCTACCGGAAGAACAGACACTGCAGAAAACTCTACAGAGGTGCCCTGGACAGGATTTACCAGCAGCGCTTTAAGTTTCAAAACAAGACCAAAAAAAAGAAGAAAAACAAAACCAAACAACCCACAAGAGCCCTGAAACCGCTGCACGGGGAGGAAAGACATCTCTAGAAGAAAGGTTTATGCGACAGAAGAGAGGAGACGTTCCTTTCAGAATAAGAGCAGACACGCAACTCCCAACTCCAACGGAGACATTCACTTCTGGGGGGGGGGGGGAAGCTATTGACTAAAACAAAAGCAGAAGAAAAGAGGAAGCTCGAGGTAGCTGTTTTAGCATAGCTTCCTAAAGTAGCTTTCAGAAAGAGGTTCAAAAGTTTTTTTTCACAAAAAAGGATTTTTGTCCGCTTTATCCCAACAGAAGTCTCTGGGAGCGGGTATGCCACCTCGGGAGACGTATGAAATCCCGTCTTTTATTTCAAGCCTGTCAACTGTCTTCTGGGTGCTCTATCTCTGGCGTCCTTTGGCGGAAAAAAGGAGCGAGTCCCCTGCGCAGAGAGAGAGGAGCACAGGGAGGCAGGCAGCTGCCCAGACACCAAATCACCTGACGGCTCCCTGAGTGAAGCCCGGGGGTGGACGGCAGCCTAGCAGGTGTCGGGCGGCCCAGTGGCTCCCCAAGCCCGTGCAGCCATCCCCACCCTGGAGGCTGTCACACTGGGGGGCTGTCACTCTCAATTGCAGCCTAACTAGGGAAGGCGCCGGCGGGACATGAAGGGTCCGTAAGGATTAAATCAGAGCGGGAGGCCCGCAGGGGCACCCCCACACGTGTTCTGATGCCCCCCCACGGAAGCCCTGCCACACTCGTTCGACGGCCCGCCCAGCCCCCCTGGAGACGAGAGCCCGGAAGCAGTGTCTCGGGTGTCCCGTCACGCCACGCCCTTCT